CGGCGCTTGGAGTAGTTGAAGGGGCTCCCGGTGCGAACAGAACCTTAGCTCCAGCAGGCGCACGTGGTAATAATTTTTCCCGTGGCGTCTCTTCTTCGGGAACAGTAGGAGGGAGCACGTGAGTGTTTGTGGGTACAATCATCGATCCTCTAGCTGAGCGTGCCTTAACCTTACTCTTGGGCCGTCCGACTGGAATGGCTGCTGGAGCCTCTCTGTTCGAATCCTTACCCGACGCGGAAGCAGCTGCGGTGGTGGCAGGCTGGCGTACGGGAGTCGTCGATACTTGAGCAAGTGGCACAGTCAGTGATGGAGTGGGGGCAACGCCAGCGGATGGCAGATCCGGTGCAAATAACTGTGACCTCAGCGATGTCTGGCTCATGCTAGGGACACTAGGTAGCGACAAGTTGTAGTTAGTCAAGGGCTTTGGCTCGCGGAGTGTCAACACTGGCTCTGTTGATGGAGCTTTTTGTGGCGATGATGCCAATACTGAAGCTTCGTCCTTCACAGTGGGTGGTACCGCCGCAGTAGGAAGCAACGAGGATGCGTTCTTTAATAACGGCCGGCGTGAAGCACGACGCTCTGCCTCTGCCTCTGGGTCGACAGGCGCGTTCTTGGAATCTGCAACCTGTTTCTCGACAGTCGCAAAAAGGCCCGCATCGACCTTTTGCGTCCAGTCAAACTTCGCTGCCGCTGTGATTGCCTGCCCTGCCTGACCAAATCTCGCCAATATGTCGCCCGACTTTGAAGCAGCATTGGTAGTGTTAAGATGTTTTGCTTGAAGAGTTGGTTTTGGTGGATTCTTCGAGGGCGCAGGCTTGGTATTGGTGGATGTTTGTTCGTGAACCCCGAAAAGATTGTCGATCTTGGCGGTGGTGGGATCGTACTCCGCAACAGACGGCTCCCCCTTTGGCGCAGAAAAGGATGCAGCAGGTGGGTTTGTCTCGGACGGTGGCGTAGCAACGCCCTTAGATAGGTCATGTGCCAGCTTCTTATTAGCGGCAGTATTACTAACTGTAAGTATGTTACTAGCGTTCGACCCCTCCGTCCTCTGCTTCTTCCTATTCCCAGCTCCAAACGTAGCGGTCTCCTTTACCTCAGCGGGCTTTGAGGGACCTCCCATCGTCGTGGCCTTGGACAGCTCTATCATAGGTTTCGGGGCCTTTCGAGTTTCAGCAGTCTTGAACGTTGACACAGGTTTGACATTGGGGTCTGTTTTCTTGGGGACAGCCTTGACGTCCAAATCTTTACCAACTGGTGGAGGTGGTGCAGAAGTAGGAGGGGCAGTCGAAGGCGCTTCAATGTCAACTTTGCTCTGAACGGCCGATTTGGGCCTATTGGAGAGCGGAGTGGGATGGTTCGTGGCAGCTTCAGGCACCCCCTGGCGAGGGGAAACGTCCTGGACCGTGGAAAGGAAACCATCTTTCTGGAGATCCAGAAGTATGGATTTGACCGTTTCGCGGTCCATAGCCTTCATCTTTGCGATCTCGGCGTCGCGCTGCTGGATCGTAGAGTCTCGTTGACGGAGCTGCTCTTCGCGGGAAGCAGCAAGATTTGTCTGTTCAGAGAGTCGCTTTTCAAGTTCGGGTATCTTTGCAACCTCACTCTGTAGCGATGCAAGGGAGGAGTTAATGAGACTAATCTGAGCTTGTTGCTCTCTGGCTACCCTGTCATACTTCTCATCGTATATGCGAAGTTCGTTTTGATCTGCCTTCTTGTTCATTGTTGACTCTAGCTCGGTGATTCTCTTATTGCTCTCTCGTGCACTTGGCCTCTCATCGCGCGTCTTGAAAGTTTTGAAGTCGTTGCGAAGCTTGGTGAGCTCGCTCTGGTTCGCTTTCGTGTCGAGTCTGCTGGACAAGCTAATTTGGCCCTTCCTGATGGTGTCTATGCTGCCATTCTGGAGGTTGGACTGGTCCTCGAGTTTTTCGATCCTCCTGCTGTGACGATTGACAAGGAGATTGGTATCCACCATGGCATTCTTTACGATTGGCGTGACGAGTAGTCGTTGCTTTTCATGGAACATCTCGCCATTCAAGTAAATGTTGACGTGACTGAGTGTGTCATCCATTGTCGATTTCGCTGAGTTAGTGATGCGCGCCGACATTCTCTTTCCCAGATCATCCAACGCCGTCTTGTACGCCTTGGAGTCTTCGGAGCGCTTGATGTCGATGTAACACGTCATCTTTTCGGTGTCAAGGTCCTTTTCGTCAATGTCCTTACGCATCTTGTCAACCTTATCAACAATACTGACAAAGTCTTTGTGTTTACGGAGATCGTCTCGGCGAAGGTAGAGGGCAAAGTAGTCCTTGAGATTCCCGTCTGCAAATTCCCTCAGTTTGCCCATGACCCAACCCTTTATCAAAATAGCGAACTCGTGCTTCATGTTGAGGTCCGCCTTCTCCACGTACACGCGTCCTAGGTTGCTGCATATTCCATGTAACCAGGCGATGGTTGGTTCGTTATTGAGCGAAGTCTTCGTTACGACGTAACGTTGAAGATGCTCAATAGACACCACCTGATTGTCCAATGTGATGCTATGCTGATGCCCCTTAGGTGACAAAGACTCCGACGCCTGCGATATCCTCCAATCCACCTCTTCGGCTGACATCAGTCTCGGTGCCTGGGGGTTGCTTGGCTGCGAAGCGGCGAGGCTAGTACGGAGTCGTCCAAACTCTTCACGCGTTGTGTTGCGCACTGACTCAGCTAGATGTCCGATGAGATCGGTGATATCGACGTTTTGTGACTTTGACTGGGCAACTTCAGATATCATGCGGGCCACCTCTTCTCTAGACATGAGCCGTGGTGTGTGTTTGTCGCCGCGCTCTGGATCGGCGAGTTGATCACAAAGCCCCTTGAACTCCTCCATCGTTGTGTTAATCACAAGCTTGGTAACCATCATGGCAAAAGCAGCATCACAAGCTCCATCGGTGTTGGGCTTGATGGCTTCAGTTATTGTTGGAACATTTGCCTCATCCAGACCCTTCTCGTCACCGTTGTCATGATGGTCTTGAGTCTTCGCGGCTGTAGGAGGGCGCTCATCCGTAGGATTAATTTCGACGGGAAGACCTGGTCTACGAAAATGAGTATAAGGAGAAGATCGAAGGTATCGAAACGCTAAAGCTAAGCCGCCTAGCGCAACGAGGGTGAACCCGACAGGCGCAGTGATATTTAGGGGGTTGGATGTCGTGTTTTCTGCTGGCGGTATGCGCATTCGCTCGCCGAATATTAGGGCCTGGTGCATTCCGCCTGTGGAGAAAGTCGTTGCGAAAGCCTCTTCATTCAATATGTTGACATTGTTAATATGCATGCATGTTGCGTTGTTCCAGGTGACGTTGTCCAGCTTTAGAGGGTATGCCTTCGCCGTAGGAAGGAAGCTTAGAGGTCGCTCAGCGGCAGTTGGAACAATAAGTCCATCTGACTTCTCCACGGCACGTTCGACCAGGCGCGCTACGCACGGCGGAGCTGGGAGGCCAGGGCTGACGGTATCGTTGGGCAGATACCAGATGGTGGCACGGGCAGCCAGTCGAACAATTTCCATTTGCGTCTCTAAAAACCACGCAACGCCATTGCGAACAGCGATCGCACCATTCCTGAAGATTATGAGGAATGTATTGCGCTTAGGCATGACTGAGGTCGGCGGTACTAGGAGGGGGTAGAGGCTGACGTGGTGTTTAAGGCCTCCCAATGGTGCGAGGGTTGGGAGACTGCGAGAGACAAGCGGACTTCCGAGTTGAGGTGAGGAGCTGAGTTGAGGCGAGGAGCTGAGTTGTGGTGAGGAGTTGAGATGAGGTAAGGAGCTGAGTTGGTGTGACAAGCTGAGATTGTGGCGTTGATAGGGCGGAGGAGTGTGATGATGTTTGTGGGAGTGCGCTAACCAAGGCACGTGATAGGAGCACCTCTAGGAGATTGAGGATGCACCGGACAGGAACAGATGCAAACACTGAGGCTGGTCTGCTGGCCCGACGCGAGCAACAGAGGGGCAGGATGAAGCGCACGATTTGCAGGTGGCGGGTTGGTGGGACAGTCTTGTGGAGTGGGAATCGAGGTTGGTGGTAGAGAGGAAGTCAGCGAGGGCGAGAGAAGGCGTCAAGGCGTCGTCGAGTGGCGGGCATGTGATCCGGCGGGCGCCTAGTATAGGCTGGAGGTGAATGCCTTTCGAGCAGCTCAACCAGCGCCGTTGTACCACCAGGCGCGTTTCCGGGTGGATCTTGCGTTCCTTTGTGCAGGTGTATACGCCGTCGGGCACCCCTGGCCCTTTCGACTCTGAACAATGTCACCACGTAGAGACCAGACCGTTCAAGTTGGACCCTTGTACTGTTGATATCCTATGCTGCACCTTTCAGGCCTTTTGAGCCACCTCAAACAGTACCCTGCAGCTGTCAAACCCTTGTGGACTAACCCTGTACGATTTAAACCTTGGCGCTTTTGACATCGTAACCTGCATTTTTTCGCCATTTTATGCCACCTTAGACGATATTAAGCATCTGTTAACCCCTCGTGAACCAACGCTGTAAGATCTGGACCCTTGCGCTTTTGACATCCTACGTTTTAGACTCTGACCCCTTCGAGCCACTTCAGACGATATCAAGCACCTACCAAAGCCTCGTGAATTAACCCGGTGCAATTCAAACCCTCCGGAATTTTAGAAAAGCCTGGGTTGTGGATACCACTCCTGGGGGTGTGTTAATGCTGCCAAGCTCGTTAAAAGGTCACGTGCCGAATAAGCGAGACTCACGTGACCTCTGCACTACATGGTCACTCCAACAAAACCGATGCTTTCAGTGGAACTAGCACACAGCCCCCGCCTCGAGCTCCTATATGTTGCTTTGTAGAACACACAGCTATTAGGCTGTGCATAGTAACTAGCACCATATAGGAGTGATTCCGGGGCCATCGCGTTATTTTATACATACAAGACTACCTATCTCAACGCCTCGCAAAACATGCACGTAGTAAAAAGAATCAGGTATTGCAAAAACCTCCTTCAAACTCTCAAAATTTCAATCGCTATCCCTTTCCACACCCTGGGTCCAGAATGCTTCCGCAGCCTCCTTGTTGCGCAGATGCTCTTCCTCTTGCGCTTTGAGCAGTTTTGCAGCATCTTCTGCCACCTTTTGCTCCTTCTCCTGCTTGCGCTTCGCCCTCCTCGCCTCGTCTCGTTTCCGCTGGGTTCCTCTCTTGTGGTTCTCCCAGGGCTGGTCGATCTCCCAGTCTATAACTCCCTTGTAGAGCTCGATCTGTTCCCCGTAATCGGTAAGAAAGTCCTTGTATATTGACGCTTCCATGCCGACGCTGAAGTCAATGAGATCGCTCTCGTTAAACAATCGCTCCCCGCGGTGAAGATCTTCTCGATTATTCCGCTCGTGGCTCCGATAGAGCATTGTTAGATAGGTTTGTCGCACGTCTGCGTGCTCCCTGCTAAGCTCTAACCAGCTGGGAAGAACTGGACCTAGGCCGGGGATTTGCTCGACTGGGATTGGCTTCACTCTCGGTGGTACTGCCTGATCGGAGATGCCTGTGTCCGGTACTGCGCCTTCGTCCATGGGCACATCGTCCTGGGAGTTGGGGACCAACGAAGAAGCCGGAGGGGAAATCGCTGTCGCGGGGTGGAGTGGCTGCACGAAAGATGAAACCACTGGAGGATTTGAGGCTCCCGTGAAGGGTGAAGCCAATGTCGAGGTTGAGAGCGTACTAGGGATAGGCGTAGACCTTGTAGAGCTTGAAGTTTGGGTCGCAACTGGAGGCCCTGATGCCGGTTGTGAGCGCTCCAAGAACATTTTCCTCGCGTGAACGGCAAGATCTAGCCATCGCGCTTGATCTGTGATTGTCGTTCCGTAGGTTTCCACCTTCTCTTTGATCTTCTCGCGATAATCGTCTTCTGTCCGAGCATCACAGGCGACATCGTTTTCTGCCTTCTTGATGAAAAATGCCAGCTCTCCATCTGTCATAGTCAGCCCACCGTTGTGAGCCTTCCGGGCTCTCAGTATAACGTTGAAGTAATCCGTTAGGCCCTCCAACCTGGCACTCGGGAATGGATCGCCGGGAATAGGCAATGGAGTGATCGTGGGGTGCAAGACATAACGACGACGAGTCCGTCGAGGCTGATCGCCTGAGATGCTGTTGGGAGGTGGGGCAAAGTTCGGGCTATGTCTCGGGACGTCTTGACGGTCTGTCAGTAGTGCTTGGGGTGGCGTCGGGCTGTGAACATGGCCGTCAACCAAACCCAGCCTGCCTCCCATTTCCTCGTCCCCATCTGCATCACGCGATTCGTCTGGCAAGTCCATATCGCCGTCGCCGTCCTTTGTCTCGACTGTCAATGTTGGCTCATATTCCATCACATCTTGGACCCTATCTGAGATCGTGGGGGGTTGGGCGGGCATTGCGACTTTCCTAGGATTGTCGGAAAGGTTTGAGAGCCCAACCTGGAAGTTGCGATTTGCTCTCGCAGAAGCTGGAGCAGTTGGTGGGATCGTCGAATTTGATCCCTGGTGCGCAGGAACTTGTCCACCGGCAGGGCCCACGTGGGTGCCCGGTGGCACTGCGCGAGGAAACCCAACCGGCCGCATCTTCACACCAGAGTTGGAAGGTGGTTGGTAACCATCCATTTCGACATCCTCAACAAACGGGCGATCAGACTGAACGTGCTCCGTGGACTCCGTAGCTCCCCCAAACGTGCCAAGATGCTGCAAGTCAGGCGCCGACTGTGGTGCGTTGCCAGCGCTGTGGTTGGGTTGGGAGGTCTGCGTACCGCTAATGCCGTTGCCAACAGCATCTGTGGGCTCCGCGACAGGTTCGTCTCCATTGCGGTCAGTCTGACCCTCGGCACCGCCAACAGACCTTCTCTTAAAGCCCCCCAAGTCGACCACAGAGTCCGAAGACAATGCAGCTGACGAGGAGCCAAGCTCAGGAGCAGCGGGGGGTGCGTCGATATTGGCCCCAATTCCGGTCAGATCGCTTTCGGTTTCGCCCTGGCCCGTAGCCTCCTCGACGTCCTCATCCTCATCGCGGTGACTTTGACGATCATCGACAGGTTGTAGTCCGGTCTCGGGTGTTGATTGTGCCGGCACAACATTTGACACGCTGTTTGTAGAGGTTTGGGAATGCTCTGTAGTATCGCGAGGTTCGATCTGCCGCATCATCTTTTGCTCCTGTGCAAGCATGAAGACCGCCAGTGCCTCAGCAACCTTATCAGCAATTGTGGCACTTAAAGAGGCCCTGTAATCGGCACTGGACAAGTGCTCGCGGACCGCAGTCTTGATATCTTGGGCGCGATTTGCTTCGGCTTGCTTGAGAAACTCATCGAGTCGGGCCACTGCAGCACTTGACTTTGCAATCTCGGCATCAATGCGCTTTTTGGCAGCCTCCAAGCCTTTGTCAACCATACCCTCCATCTGTGTCTTCAGCGATTCGGCTAGATGTTTCGCTTTCTTTGCATCCGCGCGGAGGGCCGAGATGCACGTCGAGCTGCTTGAAAGACTGGTATCCTCCAATTTGGAAACGTTATCGCTCAGTGAAGTTATGGTAGTTTGGAGCCCTTGTATATCTGTGTGCATAATGCGAATTGCAGCAGAGTTATTTGCGGAATTTTGATTGAGGGCGTCGAACTCTGAACGTCCGATCAATGGTCTCGCGATATCGGCCTTCAACTTGGAAACGTCGTTTTGAAGTGATGTGAGTTCCGGGGACCTTTTCTTGATGCAGACATAATCTAAGTCATGTACTCTGCCAGAGATGCCCTTGATCTGTTCATTGACTTTCTCAGCAGCTTCCTTGTCAGAATCGTGATCCTTCCTGAGTGCCCTTTTCGCCTCCGTGAGCTCAGCTTTTGTGTCCGAGGCAACTTTTGCGGTTTCATTAACACGGGACTCAAGATTCTTCAGGTATTGGTTGTCGCGGAGATGGTCCTTGTGAACGAATCCGGCATTCACCTCAGCTGTAGTCTTGCGGAGAGAGTATTGTACATCCTCCAGGGCAGCAAAACGGTCATCTAGGCTCGTGATATGCGCGAGACCGAGATGGTGCCGGTGGACTGGGTTTGCAGCGTTGGAGACTTCCGCGAGCAGACTTGAATAGCTCCATTCCTCATCGTTGTACAAGTCTTCCTCTATCCGTGCCACCCTTCCTTCCACATCTCGAAAAGCTTGCCCTCCCGTCGGCAGAGTTCGGAAAGGTTCTTGTCCTTCTTTGATTCTGGCAATTCGATTCTCGTAATCTAGAATTTTCGCGTGTTGTCGGCGAGATACAGACGCTAAGCTACGCTGGAGAGTTCGACTCAACTGAGCCAAGGACTTGTATCCAAGACTTTCAGCTCTTGTAGCGCAGCTTGCCAAGCGGGCCTCAAATTCGAATTCGAAGGTTACATCGGAACTATAGCATAGTTAGCGATGTATTGTGAGTGACTTGCTTGTCGAATAGTCGGTGTTGTATGGGGTACTCGTGGGAAAGATGGGAGTTGCCGCGACTTACAGAGGAGAATGGGAGATCTGATCGGCAGATTCCGGGCCTTGTGTTCGGTGAACATCATTGTCGTCTTGCGCAAGATGAGCGTGGGGAGTCGCCTCTCTACAAGCAGCAAGCTTTGCTTCTAGGTCCCGAATCTGTGATTTCTTTCGGTCGAGCTTTGATTGTAAACGGCGCAGCAGATCTGTCGTGGACTCGCACGAGGTTTTGACAAGTCTGGCGGAGCGAGCGAGGATCGCCTGGTTCCGGTCCCTATAAGAAGAGGCATTCGATGGAACGGCAGTAGATTGTGCAGCTGAGTTAATGGGAGCCATGGTAGTGGGTGAGGTAGTGGGTGAGGTTGTAGGATGAATGTGAGGAGCTGGAGGATTGGTGAAGGTGAAAAGGTTTGCAGGGCGCGACAAGTCGCAGATGAGTCCCTGCCAAGACAACAAGTGAGGTGTCAGGTGGTCAACAAGTGAGGAGTGAGATGACACGTGACAGAGACGGCGTGTGGGATGCGATGGGGATACGTCATCGAACACGCATATATCACTTGCTCCAACTCCAATTACTACGTTATAAGTATAAGCACAAGGATATATTACTGCTCTAGTATATTCTGGCTCGCTCGATAGCGTTGTAAGGAGAGCTCTAGCTAGCACATGTTATTATATGGGCGCTAGTACCTGTACACCCCCTTTTTAGTAGTTGTACACCCCCTTTTCTAGTAGTTGTACACCCCCTTTTCTAGTAGTTGTACACCCCCTAAACCCCTGTCGTTTCACCGCCCTCTAATTGGCTCGGAGCACTGCGCCGGAGCTCCGGTTATTCACCTATACATCACGTGAGGCTATACGAATTGGCGTGCAGCCTTTCCGATTCGTGCAGCCTCGCCGATTTGTATAGCCTCACGTACGAGCTCACGTACGGCTATACGAATCGGCGTGAAATAGGTTGGCAGCATTCTGCTCTTCTGTAACCTCACCGATTCGTGTAGCCTCACGTACGAGCTCACGTAGTATAAGTATAAGTCTAAGTCTAAGTATAGAATAGAAATTCTATTCTAGAAGTGCCTACGTGTCTACAAGTATGCCAAACCTGTCAAAACCTCACCTTATTACGGCTCCTTT